TGATGTTTTCTGGGCTCCCATGAACTTTTCTGAAGCTCCCTTGTCCACCTGACAAAGGAAGAAAGAGATGGGGAGAGCTACAGAAGAAGACATACATGGAGGAAGGGCTAGAGGAGCTATCTCTGATAGTCCACCCATTATCCACTGCCACTGAGTTGGTTCCAACTCACAGTGACCCTGTGTAGGGCATCTGAGACTTTAAATCTTTAAGGGAGCAGAAAGTCTTATCTTTCACCTATGGAGAGGCTGGTGGGTTTGAACCACCAACCTTGTGGTTAGCAGTCCAGTGCTTCTCCCACAGCGCCACCAGGAATCCTTGACCAACCAACCAGTGGTCATCAAGTCAATTTCATGGCAGTGCTCTATGTAACAGAGTAGAACTGAGGTCCTTAGAGTTTTCAGTGGCTGAGTTTTCAGAAGTAGATCACTAGGCTAAGGTGTCTGTGGGTAGATTCAAACCTCCATGCTCCGGGATCAACCAGGATTGCATCTTAGACAATACCTCTAAAAGGTTTCAGGTTTAATAAATGCTTTTCCTTTAAAAATGAATAAAACACACAGACATTAAATGAGATTCACATTTTTAATCATTTTCGCTCTGTGAGCAGCCAAGGAAAGGGGGAATTGGAGGTTCCAGTGAGTGGGAAAGAAAGGAGGACAAGATAGGCTAACACAGAACAAGGAATCTCCTGAACTATTCCTTCTGCCCCATGTCCTTGTTGTCCTTCCTGATTTTAGAAAGTAGAGCCACTGGCATCCCCAATGTACAGCTAAGCAGGCAGAGTTGAGGTAGACAGGGCTAGCGCCGGGAAATGAACTTGGAGCCTCCAGGTCAAATTCATTGTCTGCTTCTATCTAACTCCTATTGTTGTTAAGTGCCATCGAGTCAGTTCCGACCCATAGCGACCCTGAACAGGGTTTCCGAGGCTGTTAATTTTTACAGGAGCAGAAAGCCTCATCTTTCTCCCGCGGAGCAGTTGGTAGGTTCAAACTGCTGACCTTGAGGTTTGCAGTCCAATTTGTAACCACTACGCTAAATCTAACTGCTAGAGAAGTCTTAATTATTGAGCGCTGCTATACCAAACATACCACAGGGCGATGGCTTTAAGACACAGGAGCTTATTTTCTCACAGCCTAGTAGACTACAAGTCTGAATTCAGGGTGCTGGCTCTAAGGGGAGGGTTTCACTTTCTGTGGACTCTGGACAAAGGTCTTAGCCTCTTCAGCTTCCTGGGTCCTTGACATCTTTTTTTTTTTTTTTTTTTTTTAATCCCATTTCTCCTCTGCTTTCATGTTTGTTTAATGTTTGCTATCTCAAAAGAGATAGAGTCAAAACACACTTCACAGGAATTCTGTCTCATTAACATCACAAAGACAACACATTCTCAAAGAGGATTATCACCACAGGCAGAAAACCAAACCAGGGAGTCAATCCCAAACAGTTCCTAGTGACAGCAATGGGGAGTAGAGCTATTGCCTGGGGTTTCTGGAGCTGTAAACATTTAGAGAGGCAGACAACCTCATCGTTGTTGTTTTGTTTTTTTTCGCCTGAAAAGCAGATAGTGGCTTCTAACCATCGACCTTTAGATTAGCACAATGCTTAACACACTAGATCACCAGAGCTCCTTTCTGTAAAGATTACAGTTTGGGATTTACCTACTGCAATATGTTATTGAATTTCTTTTTTTCTTTTAAGGGTTTACAGAGCAGACCAGTTTTCCATCCAACAATTCATACATATTTTGTTTCATGTCATTGATTGATTGTTGTTGTTGTTAAATACTGTGAAGTCGGTTCCGACTCATAGTGACAGGGTTTCTGAGGCTGTAAATCTTTATAGGAGCAGAAAGCCTCATCTTTCTCCCAAGGAACAGCTGGTAGTTTCAAACTGCTGGCCTTGAGGTTGGCAGCCCAATTTGTAACTACTATGCTACCATAGCTCCTTATGTCATTGATTGCAACCCCCAATATAACTTCACTCATGCCCGTATTTCTCCTTTCCATTCCTCCTTCCCTAACCCTTTTGAATTGTGACCTTGGGTAAATGCTGCCTTTTTAATCTCAAATGGTTGATTGTTGTAAGGTGTGCATGTTGTTGTTAAGTGCCGTGGAGTCAGTTCCAACTCATAGCGACCCTATACAGGGTTTCTGAGGCTGTAGATCTTTACGGGAGCAGAAAGCCTTATCTTTCTTCCGTGGAGTGGCTGGTAGTTTCGAACTGCTGACCTTGCGGTTCGCAGCCCGATTCGTAACCACTACGCTAGCTACCAGAGCTCCTTGAAGTGTGCATTCCTCCCTGTTATTAGTGTTCTGCTTATAGACCTGTGTGTTGTTTGCTGAAAATTGATCCTCAGGGATGGGTTCAGTTCCAAGCCTGAAGGGTAACTAATAGCCATAGTAGCCTCGGGGGTTATGGATCCAATTTTGAGTTTTGTTCCACAGTTTTCTCCCAGTCTATTGAGGATTTCCTAACGTCGACACGTTCAGAGCAGTTGGTTAAGGTTCAGAGCACTATCTAGTTCTGGTCTCAGGATCGTGGAGGCTGAGGTTGTTGGATTTCTTGACTGCATTGAGTATAAAGTCCAATAAAATGAAATTCTTGGCAACTATAAATGTTCTCCACTCATCATAATGTTGCTTATTAGTCCAGTTGTAAACATTACAAACCTAAAAACAGTGATTTAACTGCTCCCTGGGGGGTTAGGCTGTGGGAACCTCTACAAGGCTGGACCTAGATCCCAGTATCTCCCGGCCTCTCCTCACCTTGTCCCCTCCTCCTGACATGCCCTTCCTGAAGTGGGCTTGTAACACCTCACAAATGTTCATTGTCTGCATCTCTTCCCAAGTCCAAGTTCAGGAACCTGAGGTTAGAAGCTTGAAATCAGACATTGTGGAAGTATTTACACCACAGAAATTAGCAAACACTACAAATCAGGACTTTTCCTTGTAGTGCCAGTTGTGAAACCACCACACACCACCAACTTTCCTTGTAGTGCCAGTTGTGAAACCAGCACACCACCAACTTCTGCCCTATGCCTGAGACCACCCCATGCCTGAGACCCACCCACAGGAGTCTCAAAGTTCCTGTCTCCCCATCTAAACACTGAAAGGCAAAACCAGACTAAGGGGATGGAGGTCAAAGTGTCAAACTTCCAAATCAAATCAAGCCTGTTACCATGGAGCTCATTCTGACTCGTAACAGCCTATAGGAGAGAGTAGAACTGCCCCATAGGGTGTCCAAGGCTGTAATCGTTACAGACACTTCCGTGGGGCAACTGTTGAGTTCAAACCACTGACCTTTAAGTTAGCAGCTGAGCACTTCACCACTGCACTACCAGGGCTCCTTAATAAACTGCCAATATTTAAAATTCTCTGAGTTTATCTCTGTACTGTGGGTTAAATTGTATTAAAAAAAAACACACGGCACTACCCACCCAGCCTCCCCCAACCCCTCAAACACAAACAAACAAAAAAACACAAACAAACTTCCATTTTCCAATCTCACATTCATATCAGAAAATTTAAATCTATAAGAGGGACTGTATCTATGAGACTCACAACTGCTTCTAAATCCTTTTCTCTCTCTCCTGTCTCTTGTATATTTCAGGTGGGAAGCCTGTTTACTTGTCTCATCTCTGGAATACCTACAATTGCATTGGTATAGTGGTTGGGTGGCAACAGTGGCTAAGAGGTTGGCTACTAGCTGGAACACTGAATGGTTAAAATTAAGAAAGGTGTGCACCATACTTATTCAACCTGTACGCTCAGCTGGGTTATATGAAGAAAAAGGTGGCATCAGGATTGGGAGAAGATGCTTTAGCAACCTGTGTTATGCAAATGATACAATCTTGCTTGCTGAAAGTGAAGAGGACTTCAACATTTACTGATGAAGATCAAGGAGCACAGCCTTCGGTATGGATTACATCTCAATGTAAAGAAAACAAAAATCCTCACCACTGGACCAATAAACAACATTCTTATCAATGGAGAAAACATTGAAGTTGTCAAGGACTTCATTCTTCTTGGATCAACTATCAACACTCATGGAAGCAGCAGTCAAGAAATCAAACAACATATTGCATTAGGCAAATCTGCTGCACAAGACCTTTTTAAAGTGTTGAAGAGCAAAGATGTCAGCTTGAGGACTGAGGTATGCCTGATCCAAGCAATGGTATTTTCAATAACCTCATATGGATATGAAAGCTGGACAGTGAATAAGGAAGACCATAGAAGAGTTGATGCATTTGAGTTATGGTGTTGGAGGAGAATATTGAAAGTGCCATGGGCTGCCAAAAGAACCAATAGATCCGTTTTGGAAGAAGTACAGCCAGAGTGCTCCTTGGAGGCTAAGATGGCCAAACTTTGTCTCTCATACTTTGGACATATTGTCAGGAGGGAACAGTCACTGGAGAAGGATATCATGTTTGGTAAGATGGGGGGGGGGTCAGAGAAAAAGAGGAAGACCCCCAGTGAGATGAACTGGCCAAGTGGCAGTGTTGATGGACTCAAGCAAGGCAACAGTAATGAGGTTGGCCTAGGATCGGGCAGTGTTTCGTTCTGCTGTGCATAAGGTTGCTATGGGTCGGTACCAACTCAATGGCACCTAACAACAACAACAACAACAGCTGGAAGGTTGTCAATTCAAATCCACACAGAGGTGCCTTTGGAGACAGGTCTGCTTTCAAAAGGTCACAGCCTGGAAAATCCTATGGTACTCCACTCGGCACACATAGGGTCATTCTATTCCACGTGAGATGATGTTGGAGTTACGAGAAAGCCTAGAATGTATCTATCTGTCCCTAAAGAAGGAGGAGTGTCTCCCTAGGGAGCAAAGCGATGGACCGTGTAGAACTAAACTGAACATGAAGCCAAGAAGAACACTGTCTTTGGAAGGAGTCAAGTTCTTGTTGCCTTCTCAGAGATATTGTCCAAGATTCTAATCTTCAGGGAAGCAGAATTAGACAAGAGAGGGTCCTGAGGCCAGATAGAGAGAGCATCTTCTACAAGATCTGAAACTTCCAGGCACTCTGATCCTTATAGTCCAGAGGGTCCATGGGGTTGTAGGTGAATTTCCAGGTCCCTGTGGGGTCCTTGAATTCCAAGCTGTCCATAGGGCTGTAAGAGCCATAACTCTGACCCGATAGGGAGGTAGGGGACTGAGCCAGCGATGGTCCCACAGACGGGCCAGATAAGGGACTCAGAGCTGGGCCTCCCAGCTGGGGCACCATGGGAGAAAGGTAGGGATCCAGGCCACTGAAAAAGGAGCTTGGAGACCCGTATGCTGAAGGGGAAGAGCAGAAAGCAGAGGCTGGGGCATAGGTCATAGCATAGGGGGCTGAGGTCAGGGCAGGCCCTGAGGCCACTAGCCCAGACCTCTGGGGGTCAGGTAAAGGGGACTCTGAGGCTGGACTCCAGATGGACACAGTGGCCACTGCTGTGGTGGAGGAGCCTGAGGGGCCAGGTAGAGGGGGGCTGTAGGAATCTGCTATGCCCAGGGCATCTGGACAGACATCCGTAGAGGCTCTAGGAGATGTGCCTGCTTTCCTCTTTGCAGGACGAGCCTTGGTGATACCTCCTGGGGGCTGTTGCTGTTTTAGCTGTTGCCGCTGCTGTCTACACTTAGCCCTGCGGTTCTTGAACCAAACCTGGGGAAGAATAGGGGAGACTGAGTAGGAAAGAGGCCCAGGCGAAACTTCATGATGCTCAGGAATGATGATTCTTATTGGTAGGAGATGTCAGCTTCACATCTTCCTAGTTTACATTCAGTTATGAGACAATACACCCACCCCCCCACCCATCCATCCATCTATCCACCCATCTACCCACTCACCCACCCACCCATCCATTCACCCACCCATCTACCCACCCACCCATCCATCCATCCAATTACCCACCCACTCACCCATCCATCCACACATCCATCCATCCACCCATTCACTCATCCATCCATCCATACTTACATACATTCATCTATCAATTAACTATCTAGTCATTTATTCATATACATATTCATCTATTCATCCATCTAATTATTTGTCCAATCATCCATTCAGCCATCCTCTGGCTCATACATCTATTCACCCATCCATCCAGTCATTTACCCATATATACATACAGTTACATGTTCTTCTCTTCCTCCAGCCAATGGCACATACATACACATAGAGATTGCACTCTACTTTCTGATGTGCCTGTCCTCGAGGGAAACCCTCATGTGGAGTGAAAATGCTGCCAGGATCAGGACCAGCATTCAGATTGTGAGACTTGGTAACACCATAGCAATGGGAACTTGGTGTGTTCTATGTTACTTTCTGATTTGGGGCAGGTGACCACCACCTGCTCAATAGTTGAGTTTCTGAAGTTTCTCAACAACAAATATTGTGGAAGAAACCATTGAGCAGGATAAGGGGAAATGGACTGCGTTGGTAAGTGAAGGTTGCAATTTTAAATGCAATGATCAGTGTGTTGTTGTTAAGTGTCGTCGAATTGTTTCTGACTCACAGCGAGTCTGTATAGGGTTCCCAAGGAGCAGCTGGTGAGTTTGAACCACTAACCTTGTGGTTCAGTGCTTTATCCCACAGCACCATACCAGACTCAAAGGATCTGCGGTGTTGTTGTTAAGTACTGTGGAGTCGGTTCCAACTCATAGTGACCCTGTACAGGGTTTCCGAGGCTGTAAATCTTTACAGAAGCAGAAAGCCTCATCTTTCTCCCATGGAACAGCTAGTAGTTTCGAACTGCCGACCTTGAGGTTAGCAGTCCAATTTGTAACCACTACGCTACCAGAGCTCCTTTAAATGATTGGTGTAAGTTTCATTAATCAAGTAACACTTGAGTCAAGATTTAAACAAGGTAATGGGATGAACCATGTTGTTTTCTGAGGGATAAGCATTTCAGGTAGCAGGAACAGAGTGTGCAAAGGTCCTGAGGCAGGAGTATGTTTGGAAGGCACATTAGAGGAAGATCATTAGGGGTCATTGTGGATGGAGTAAAATGAGAAAGGGGGGTCTGGCAAGAGAATTCACTGAAATAGTAGGTGGGTGGGGAGGCATTAAGCCACGTTAAACCATTGGCTGTTAACTCTATGATCCCTCTCAATACTCTGGGTCCCAGAAAGGCCCCATGGATGTCTCAGAGGTCCAGGAGTGGCCCAAGGACCACAATATCCTACCTGAACCCTGGACTCGGGCAGGTTGATCTTCAAAGCCACCTCCTCACGGGCATACACATCCGGATACTGGGTCTTAGCAAACAGGGCCTCCAGCTCCTCCAGTTGGCTCCGAGTGAAGGTGGTGCGCTCACGCCGTTGCTTCCTTGGAGCACCTGGGGTGGGAATAGGGACATGAAGCAGTCAAGTGACCCAGCCTCCAACTCACCTCCTCTCTCAGTGCCGGGACAACTGGTGAGGGAGATCCTGAGGCTGGGTGGGGACCCGAGAAGCCTTTTCTGGGTGTCTGTCTGTCCAGATTAAGGATGTTCCCATTCCCCCAGGAACTGAGATGCCCCTTTGTCATTTTTAGGTTCATGCCTCATCCCAAGGGGAAGCAGCATTAGCCCTCCTGTAAGGAGATAGTGAGTTTGTCTTCTTTCTCCTTCTAAAATCTACTATGCACTAAGACATATGCAGGAAAGGGGAACTTCCTGACACAGTGGCTTCAACGTTGGGCTCAAATGTAGCAGCAGTGGTGAGGATGATGAAGCATTAGGTAATGTTTCATTCCGTTCTACATAGGGTCACTATAAGTCAGAACTGACGCAATAGACCTTACCAACAGGACATCTGCAAAGAACCCTGTTGGAGCAATAGTTACGCACTCAGCTGCTAACTGAAAAGTTGGTGGTTTGAACCTGTCCAGTGGCTCCATGGGAGAAAAATGTGGCAGGCTGTGTCTGTAACGATTGTTACTGATGTTGTGGTTAAGGGATGCCGAGTTTGCTCTGACTCATAGTGACCCCGTATAGCAGTTCCAAGAGTGGCTGGTGAAGAGAAGCAGTGATGCCTGAGATGGAGGCAGAGACGATGACGTGGAGAAATGGAGCAGCTGGAGACTTTAGACCCAGAGAGGGAGAGGGACTATGTGCTGATGACTGGGGGGCAGGCTTGCAGGGTATACCCTTTGGTTGATTGATGATGCATGGAGGGGATTGTAATCATGGCAATTGGCAATGAAACAATATACGATAGGATGAATGTAAAACTAATGTTCTCCCATGTAAACTATCACATAATTCACAATAAAACATTAAAAAAAAAAGTGGCTGGTGGGTTTGAACCGCCAACCTTGAGGTTAGCATTTCAGTGCTTATCCTACAGTGCCACACCAGGACTCCAGTCTTGGGAACTCTAAGGAACAGCTCTACTCCATCACCTGGGGTCACTAAGAGTCAGAATCATTTCAATGACACATAACAGCAACATCTAAGATACATGCAGTTGAAACATTACATTGTTGATATTCAACCCATAAAAACTGTGATTCAGCATAATGCAAAAAGAAGCTATCAGAATAACCCCACAACCTTTTGCTGAGAACCTTCTAGACCCAGGGGAAGACTGATACTAAGACACATAGAGATCTCCAAGGGATGTTGGGCACACTGATATTGAAAGCAGACAAGGATTTTCCTGCAGAGGCTGCAGAGAGAGAAAGCTTTCCTCTAGAATTAGTGCCCTGAAGTTTGGACTTCTAGCTTCCTAAACCGAAAGAATACATTTCTATTTGTTAACAACAACAAAAAATCATAATAATGCCACAGATAGCTGAGTGCTGACTTAGCTTTTAAATAAAGCATTGCTTCTGCTGCTGTTACTGTTAGATGTCACCAAATCAGTTCTGACTCATAGAGACGCTATGCACACAGAATGCACCATCCTCACAATCATTGCTAGGTCTGAGCTCATTGGTACATTGCTAACAGATATCAATTCTTCTTGGTTCTCCATCCTGATCCTGCATCTCAGGAGAGCCACTAGCCTAAATATCTACGAATGTCCTTGTGCTTTTTTACATCCGTAAGTAATAGATAAAGAGACCTGGTGGTGCTGTGGGTTAAGTATTGAGCTGCTAACTGTAAGGTTGTTGGTTTAAACCCACCAGCCGCTACTCAGGCGATAGATGGAGGTATTTGCTCTGATAAAGACTGTACTTTCAGAAATTCTAAGGAGCAGTTCTACTGTGTCCTATCTGGTTGCTATGAGTAGTGGGTTTGGGTTTTTGATTTGAAGTGCTGGATTGTACAACGATCCGTCTGTCCGTTTACGGAGGTGGCTTGTATGTTGCTCTGATGTGGGATGTTCTATCATAAGTACACGGGGGCTTTTAAAAGGTCATGGAAAAACAGTGTTGAAAGATTTTTTTCTATGAACTTTTTAAAGCTCCTTTATATTTCAAATACCAGCAAGGACACCGTGGTGGACAGATTTCAGCAGTTTCCAGACTAAGACAGACTAGACTAGGAGGGAAATCCTGGTGATCTGCTTCCAAAAAATTAGCAAAAAACCCCCCAAGAACCGTTATGGATCGTAACGGAACAGTGCATGACTGTCTTGTTCTGAGGAATGTCATCTGGAAAACATGCTGTAAAAGGACGTCGTTGGTGAAGCAGAGGACCAACAAGAGTGAGGCAGACTTTCAGTGAGGTACGTTGGCACAATGACCACAACAATCGCGAGGCTGTGGAACACCCTGAGGATGGCACAGAAGCCAGGCAACGTTTGTTTCATTCTGTTGTACAAAGGTCGCCGTAAGTCAGAGTCAGCATGCCAGCTGCTATCCATCTAACATCTGCCTACCTATCCATAACATCTATCATCTATCCATCCAGCCATCATCTATCTATCTACCTATCTATCCATCATCATCTATCTACCTATCCAACCATCATCATCTGTCCATCCAGCCATCATCTATCTATCTACCTATCTATCCATCCATCATCATCTATTCATCCAGCCATCATCTATCTATCTACCTATGTATCCATCCATTATCATCTATCCATCCAGTCATCATCTATCTACCTATCCATCCATCCATCATCATCTATCCATCCATCATCATCTATCCATCCAGCCATCATCTATCTATCTACCTATCTATCCAGCCATCATCATCTATTCATCCATCCATCATCTATCTATCTATCCATCCATCATCATCTATCATCTATCTATATATCATTTTTCTATTCACCTATCAACTGTCATCTATCCATCTCTCTACCCACCCATATATCCATCCATCCAACCATCATCTATATATATCGATCATCAAGTTTTCTATTATCTGCCATCTATATATATATATCATCTATCTATCCATCATCCATATCATTTAGCTAACATCTATCATTTATCTAAGGAGCTCTGGTAGCGTAGTGGTTACGAATCAGGCTACTAACCTCAAGGTCAGCAGTTCACAACTACCAGCTGTTCCGTGGGAAAATGATGAGGCTTTCTGCTTCTATAAAGATTTACAGCCTCAGAAACCCTGTACAGGGTCGCTATGAGTCGATTCCAACACCACGGCACATAACTGCCACCACCATCATCTATCTATCATCTACCTATCAGCCTATCATCTATCCATCGATCTATACACATAAATCATCCATCTATCTATCCATCTATCCATCCATCCATCTATCCATCTACCTATCTCTCTCTCTCTCTATCTATCTATCTAAGACCCTGAGTGACACAACAGTTAAATCGTTAAGCACTCCATCACCATCCTAACTGTTAGCAGTTCAAACCCACTCAGAAGGACCTTGGAAAGCTTTCCTGGTGATCTGCTTCAAACAAGTCCCAACCTTGAAAACCCTCCGGAGCAGTTCTACTCTGCCATGAACAGTAATCAACTCAAAGGCAAGTCTAACAGCAACAGCTTCAAAGTGACACATGATATTGTTCTGCATTTGCAAACGGACACATACTACTGGTGTTTGACTTTGATGTCGCCCCTGCAAGTACTCATCAAAGAAACAAGACCCCACAGACCTCCCCACCCCACAAGAGGTGGAGCTGTACTCACTTGGGTAGGACACAGCTTGTTGCATCAAGTCCATGTTGGGGCCACCCAGGGCCAACGCATTGACGGAATAGTGGGGCCCCGGGTTCATATACGCCATCATGATCTTTGGGGACTCTGGACTCCAGGTCAAGGGGCCTGCAAGAGAAACAGAGGAAGCTCAAACACTCACCAGTGACTCTGTGGCAGCGGACAGGCCCAGGCTGAAATCCTGCCTCTGCCTCTTAGGTGTGTGACCTGCAGCCATCATTCTCAGCCCACTACCAAAAGGCTCTGTGCTTCAGATCACTGGAGGCTTCATGGAGAGCTGGAGACAGCATCCCAAAAGGCAAACTGCCCTTTAGTCGAATGCAAGGGAGGAGTAGCCTATTAGTAAGGTAAGCATGTGCTTACTGGCTAAGTGATCACCACTGCCATCGAGTCAGTTCTGACTCATCGCTGCCCTGTATAGGATTTCTGAGGCTGTAAATCTTCACTGGAGTAGAAAGGGCCCATCTTTTTTCCTGTGGCGTCACTAATGGATTTGAACTGCTAACCTTGAGGTTAGCAGTCCAATGCCTATCCTACAGTATCACCAGGGGTGCCTTTCTAAGCTATGTTGTTGTTATTGTAAAGTGCTGTCGAGTCAGTTCCAACTCACAGCGATCCTGTATAGGGTTTCCGAGGAGCTGCTGGTGAGTTTGAACTTTCAACCTTGCGGTTCAAACTGACCTTGAGGTCGAGTGCTTATTCTACAGAGCCACACCAGGACTTCTAAGCTAGAGTGAGCTGTTTTACGTGGGTTTCACCACATCAGTTTATATCTGTTTACTAATTTGTAGTGAACAACTTCAAATAGGTTTCACCACACATGTGATGTGGTGAAACACATGGAAACTATTCACTACAGATTATCATTAAACTTAAGCAAATTCTGATCTGGTGCTGTAGGATAAGCACTGGACTACTAACTGCAAGTTTGGTGGTTCAAACCCACAAGCCGCTCCTTTTAAACCCTATGCATGGTCTCTATGAGTAGGATCCAACTCAATCGCACTTAAAAACAACAACATCTGCAAATCCAGCCTCCCTTGCTGACTGGGTACTCCATCCCTATTAGGAATTGTAAAGATGAAAGGACCTGATTCTGCAGGAAAAAGCTATGGGGTTGAGAGACAAACAGATGCCAGCCAGTCCTAGACACAGAATCTCTGATGCGCTGAAAAAATGTGAAACTGTTCACTACAGACGATTAAGGAAGCATGGCAGCCCAGGCTTACCTTATAGTTGTGATCAAAGCCCATGTGAAATTGTTCACTACAGATTAGTGAGTAAGCACAAGCAAACTCATGCATAGCTTACTTACTGGCTACTCCATCCCTGTCAGGGATTGTAAATTTGAGAGGCTTTGATGCTGTAGGAAGGTACTGGAGGGTAGGGAGAGAGGCAGGTGTGTCCGTCAGCCGCCGAGAAGCAGAATCTTTGACATGAAGGAAAATATTTTAAAAAGTGAAAATGATTCTCTACAGAGCAGTAGGGAAGCACAAGTAAGCTCATGCTTACCTTGTTTATTGGGTTATCTAACACTGACCCTCACGGCATTTGCAGTGGATACAACATTCCTGATAATCAATCACATTTAGGCAATTCCAGATAGTTCAACGTCATACAAAAAGAGAAACCAGAAGTAGCTATGCCTGCCTATCGCTGCCAATGGCTTTGAAAGGGATCACGTTAGAAGGTCCGGGATAGAGTGGAAGAAAATGTGGAACAAAATTCAAAATTATTAAAAAAAAAAAGTCCAAGCTTACTGAGCAGAAAGAGACTGGAGGAGCCTGAGACCATGTGGTCCTCAACCACGGTTCAGATCTGGAAAGGAACTCACCCTCCTGGCTGACAGTAGATAGGTGTATAGAGGGGGCGGTGACAACCCTAGTAAGGTGTGCTCACCATGGAATGGTCAGTCATTCAGAATCAAAAGGACAACATTTACCTACGGACAAAGTTGAGAAGTGATGGGAAACGGAAATCATAGGGAGGAGGCGGGATAACTGTTGTTACATGGAGGGGATTGCAGTCCTTGAGATGAAACAAAATGTATGATTTGTTGAATGTAAAATCGATGAACTGTTCTGTAAACCTTCACTCAATTCACAATGAAAAGTAAAAAAAGAAGAAAAAGAGCATTTGAAAAACAATGCTACATAACCCAGGACTCAGCTTAGAAATAGGCGCTGTAGGATAAGCACCAGACTGCAATGTGGGATCGAATCTCATGGTCTGCGGTTCAAATCCACCAGCCGCTCCTCGGAAACCCTATACAAGATCGCTATGAGTTGGAACTGTCTCAATGGCACTTAGAGCAATAACCATTGCTGTGTATGGCATTAACTCAACAGCAACACGTTTGGTTTTTCTGGGTGTGGTGTGTCAAGGGACACATTGAAAAGCTGAAAACAGAACCGGCCTTGTAGGCTTGCTCCACAATCGACCCACCGGTCATTGCTTTGCGCAAGCGCATGTCCGCAAAGGCCATGAAAAGCCACTTAACTATTGATTGTGGGTTTACAAAAAAAAAAAATTTAGCGAGGAAACGAGTTCACAAATAGGAAATCCATGTGTACTTTGTGGTGGTGATTGTGTGTTCGTTGAGTCTATTCCTTCACATTCGGACCACATGTAACAAAAGTAGAACTGTCCTATAGGGTTTCCTACATTGGTGGCGCTGTGAGTTAGGCATTGGGCTGTTAAACTAAACGTCTCGTGTTCAAACCCACAAACTGTCCCTCGGGAGAAAGATGAGGTTGTCTGTTCCCATAAAGTTTTATTTACACTCTCAGAAACCCTAGATAGGGTCGCTAACCACAAAGTCAGTAGTTCAAACTTACCAGCAACTCCTCAGAAATCCTATATATTTTCACTATGAGTAGGAATCGACACCATGATGTTAAGCAATAACAAAGTTTTGAACCCAAACCCACTGCCATTAACTTGATTCCAACTTATAGAGACCATTACAGGACAGAGCAGTGTTAGGTCCAAGGGTTCCCAAGCCTGCAAATCTTCAAGGGAGCAGACAGCTTCATTGTTCTCCGTTGGAGTGGCTGGTGGATTTGAACTGCGGACTTTTCAGTTAGCAGCCCAACACTTAACCCACTGCACTACCAGGGCTCCTCAGCAATCTATACAGCGACCAAAGAAAGAAACCATTAAATGATTTCAGCCCCGGTGGTCTAATGGGTTACCCTTGACTTGCTTTAAACTGCAAGACCAGCAGTTTGAATGCACCAGCTGCTCTGAGGGAGAAACTCCAGTAAAGATTTACAGTTTCAGAAACTCTATGGAGACAGCTATGAGTCACAACCCTATACATGGTTGCTGTCTATGGTTCGGAACCGACTTGATGACACTTAACAACAGCAACAGAAATAGACATTTGGACTCCTGGTGTGGTTCTGTGGGCTAAAGCACTGACCACAAGGTCAGTTTCAACCACCAACCTTGTGGTTAACACTCCAGCTGGTGTTTATCCTACAGCACCACACCAGAAGCCCAGAGTCCTACAGGCTGCTAATGGGGACACAGGATCTCAACTCTGGGGCTCTGTTCTCCAAATCTGCTGGTCTGGGTTCCCTACGCCCTTTCCCTCTTCTCCAAGGGGCAATATGGAAACAGAGATAGTGGAAACAGTCTGGTGAACTTGCCTTTGTAAGGACAAATTTTACAAAATGTAGGTATAGTGCAAAGGGTTAATTAAGGTTAGTGCACTCAGCAGCTGATCACCCAGAGGCACCTAGAAGAAAGGCCTGGTGATCAACGGCTGAAAATTCAGCCACTGAAAACCATAGAAGGAGCTCTGGTGGCATTGTAGGATAAGCATTGGACTGCTAACTACAAGGTCTTTGGTTCAAACCCACCAATCGCTCCTCTCGATGGGACGTTCTGCTCCCATAAAGCTTAGCCTTGAAACCCTCTACAGGGTTTCTTATGCATCAGAACCAACTCAGTGGTGGTGAGACTGGTTTGAGATAATCATTCCACAAAAGAAAAATGAGGTACTCTGCTTCCGTAAAGATTTATAGCCTCAGAAACCCTATAGGGAAGTTCTACCTTGTCCTAAAAGATTGCTGAGTTGGACTCGACACAATGGCACACAACAATATTATTGAAAAACTGAGGGGCAGTTTTTCAAGTGGCTGGGGTACTTTTGCAGGTCAGTGATGTAGGGCCTAGGTCGTCGTATGCTAATGGGTCATCTGCTATCCCATTTCATTTTGTTTACAGATTAACAGCTGCAGCCTGGGATTGGATGCTCTTCTCATTTTTGAAATTCCTGATTTCAATCTGCTGCCTCCCTGGTTGATTTTAAAGACAATGGTGTTTCATTTTCTTCCCACAGGGTGGATCTGTTGATGAGACCTTGAGGCTTGAGGCTAGTTCTCAGAGCTTGGAGCTATTCAGCTTTTCCGAGCTATAGGTTCTCACTAAACCACTGTTCCCTTAGGTGGGACAGCTGAGGAAATGATTCCATTTTATGAAAAGGAAAATTGAACAAGGTAGGAGGAAGGTGTCAGCCCAAAGGTTGTTGTTGTTAGGTGCCATCGAGTCGGTACCGACTCATAGCAACCCTATGCACAGCAGAACAAAACACTGCCTGGTCCTGGGGCAACCTCACAATTGTTGCCACACTTGAGCCACTTGATGCTGCCACTTTGCCAATCCATCTCGCTGCAAAATTCCTCTTTTTCTCTGACCCGCCACCCTACCAAACATGATATCTGTCTCCAGCGACTGGTCCCTCCTGACAATATGTCTGAAGCATGAGAGATGAAGTTTGTCCATCCTGGCCTCCAAGGCTGTACTTCTTCCAACACAGATCTGTTTGTTCATTTGGCAGCCCATAGCACTTTCAATATTCTCCTCCAACACCATAACTCAAAAGCATCAAGTTTTAGGACCTCCATGGGATTCCCAGTCCCTCCTAAAGAACCCACTGCCGTAGAATCGGTTGGTTCTGACCCATAGTGACCCTGTATAGGGTTTCCAAGGAGCAGTCGGTGAGCTTGAACCGCCATCTTTGTGGTTCCAACCGACTTTGCAGTCCAGCGCATGAGCCCACAGAGCCTCGCCAGTACT